AGTGCCTATCTTCACTACTTTTAATTGGTTTTATTGTAGTTTTCGGTTGTATTATTTCATTTATTTATTTTTCGTTTTTTCGAAAGCAACAATAATGCGCTTCAGTGAGTGTAAAATATATTAATGAACTGCAGTGACAAATATCTTTGTAGCGCTTGAAGAGAATACGAACATTTCTCGCTGAGTGTCAACCAAAACAAATTACTCATACAAATATGGCTTTCTTTGATGCCCAAACAAGCAAATACGTATATGTGGATACATGTATATGTAGCTGTCATATTTAGATTTTGTGAAGATCATGCAACAGTGGCAGGTGTCTACACACGTTTCCGTTTGCAGTTTCTAAATGGCACATACATATGTACATATACTACAATAACACGTTATCTGAAATACTTGGCACACATACATGCACATGCATAAGTATGTGTGACTACTTGCAGTGGGATGGTAACAGCACAGCGGGGCGTATAAGCAACTTGCAGAATTTTACGCTCCGTACTACTCATTTTGTTCGTCCTTCATAATGTCACAAATGACAATGTTTACATTTATTTTAGCGGCACAAAAATTAGAAAAAAAGAATAGAAAAACTAACTAAATAAATTCTGTTGTGAATAATAATTTACTCGTGCTTGCATGCATGCTTCTTATATGTAATAAAACGCATCTACATTTTACATACAAGAAATAATTTTTAATTGAAACTATATTTGTCCATAATTTGTGATATTTAAATGCAAAACACAAAATCACATCTCGCTTATATTAATTTTTATATTGTTTTACATGCAAACATATACATATCAGGGTTGCATGCTTTACAAAAATAATTGAATTTTTTTTTTGTTTTGTAATCACAAATACGACATCGAAAAATTTAAAGTAAGGTTTATCCTGCGCACAAGATTAAAAAATAAAAGAAAAAGTTTATTCCCACATACCACATTAGATAATAAGCAAAAAATTTTAATCCCAACTTCCGAATATAAAAATCAAATAAAAAAAAATGTTAATAACAAGCATACAATTAAGAATTAAAAAAACATTCTGTTTTGGAATTAACATATTTTCGCGTTCATGCAATTCAAAAAAATTATATTTTCAATTTTTAATCCCAAAACTATTGATTTAAAAAATGAATATTTAATTTTTATCCCAACAACGGAATTAAAAATAAAATTTTTGAATATCAATTTTATTTTTTATGAAAAATAATTGAATTAAGGAATTCGCAACACTGCTGCATATATATTTTTTAATTGTGGGGGAGTTTCAACCTGTGCAAAGCTATATTATTTAATGTACGAAATCCGTTGCGATAATAAATAAATATTAAATACTAGCTTAAAAAAAACATTATAATTACAAACAAATAAAATTCTTGTTACACATCTGCGCTATCCAAATGATAATAATCACTTAAAGAATTTTGCAAAATAAAAATTTCAAATAAAACATTGCTTAAAATAAAAAATCGATTTTTGTTATCTGATAGTTCGATAGAAAATGTTAATAAGATTATTTTAGTTCTTACAGGATCCAGTTAAAATTGTACTTCGACCTTTTCAAATCAATCTAACTCCTGAATCATAATTTTCTTTGCTTTATAGTCGAGGATCTTTGTTTAATAGTACTCAATTATGCGGAATAAATATGTTCGAATGAATGATGATAGTACAAATGATTTTTCATTAGCATGTATACCACATCGTTATAACTCTGTCAAATTCACTCAAGAAAAATTGGTACCTTGTCCTCTCTGTATTATTTATTAACCTTTTTGTAAACTGTATTGGAATTTAAGTAATGATTATACCAAAACATATGTATGTTTGATGAATGTTCTGGTTGTTTAATGACTAGAATTATTTCTGTTATACTCTTTTCGTGATGTGGCCGGTCTCTCCTTCAATAAAATAAAGTACTCAAAAAATAAATTGGAAGAGAAAAAATAATTTATAACATTTCTCTATTTTCAAAGTAACAATACGAAGTTTTATATGCCTACTCACGCTGTCTGATAAGAATAAAAATGTCCAGCAAGAAAATATGAAATTAAATTTTTTTACGCTATATTTTTCAAATAAGAAAACAAAGAGTACAATTATAAAAATAAACAATAGTATATATGTATATACAATACATAATTCTATATACATCGACACTTGAATGCCAGAAACCGCAAGCGAAAATAAGAAATACATAAAAGCTAACACAAATCGTTGTTGATAATTGAAATTCAAAGCAAACAAATGGAAACTTTGGTAAATAAACGCGAAAAGAAAGAAGAAAATTCGAAAGATTAGGATAAAGCGCACAAGGAACAGTAAATAGGAAAGATTATATAAATAAATGGTATTTAAATCTCATAATGAATTAGCTTATGTATTTGTTTGCAAATTTTCCTTCGGGCGGATACAAATGTACGTATGCATGTATCTATATAAGCGTGTTTAAATAAAATATTTTTTGAAATTTTGATACACACATACATATTTATGCTTATGAATACGCGCTACATATACTTATTTGCCAAATGCTAAACAGACGAGCTGCTCTGTGCAATAAGATATTTTTCGAGAAAAGCGACGCAAAAGAATATATTTAATTATTTAAATATATAAGTACATTAATATATTTATACATGTATTTATGTGTATATAACATGCACTTATAGAATTAAACACTAATCAACAGAACACATACTTTTCTATGCACTCAAGTAGACGCCTATGTGTGTAGGTTGACTTTTCGAAATTGACATATCTATGTTTATTTAGTGAAAGAAATTTTATTAATATATACATATACAATATGTTTTTATAGAGCTATTTATATATTTATCTTAAATATAATAAAGATAATCTTAATTCAAAAGTCAGAAAGATAATCTTAGTAAACATTTTTGCTTATCAACCCCTTTCTATGCTACTTACGATTCATATCGATGAGTTCCCTAAACTTTTCGATAGTAAAATCGTACGACTGTAACAGGTATAAAGGTCACAGCGAAGGCTGAATAAATACAAATAGTTTTCAGATGTTTCGAAGAAATTCTCAGACCGACATTTCAAGCTAGACGAAAATTAATAGAATAATATATAGTGCAAACAGGAGAGTTGCGACCGGCACACCCTCTCAAATTATCCAGTTGTTAATTTATGTCATTTAATATTTTGCTATGAAGGAGTGATCAGCACATGATCAAATCTACTACATTCTTATTGAGATATGGATGATCTTAGTTGGATAGTATTAAAAGTGTACACTTTTTCTTTCATCAGAGGCCAAGTCAAATGAATTTTATGATGTGGTCCTTTCACTGCTTAGTCGGTGATCTTAAGCACAACACTGATGAAAATAAACCAAAGGCTTTCGCAGCAATCGTTTAAATAAAAAAAAAAAAATTTACTAAATATTTCAAACGCACCACCAGTGAAACTTTAAACAATTCCGTCTCTTTACTTCCACAAGACAGGCTAAAGAGAAAATGTCCATTATATTGATTAAAAACTGTTGTGTGGAATTTTTCTATTTTCATCTGCGCTCCATTTTCCTTTTTTAAGTAAAATATGTTCGCCACAAGAAACAACAACAAATCTTTACAAGTTGATTCTGCTGAATGTCACCTTTCTATTCTTCTATCCGTTTCTTCTCTCTGCTAAGTTCAAAGTGTGAATAACATGACCTAAAATATTTGTGTGCGAAGGAGATTAAAGAGAGAAATTGACACTGAATAGAACAATGAGAAAATGCTGATAGAAAAAAAAACTATTTTAAAAACACATTTTTATGGAATCTCCTTTGTTAAAATATGTAAGGAAATGGAAAATATTTTCCTACGCTTTAACAGACAAATTTGACATGCCAATGAAAGCTGTAGAAAACTCAAGCTGAGGGATAAAAAATGCCGAAGAATAGAAAATATTTTCCAAAGGTGACTAATTTTGTTTCGCTCATATGTTGGGCCTTAGTAGAGAATTTGAAAGGGTCAGGAATCCAAACTATGCCATTTGTTCGCTTTTCAATTCTGCGCAGTTAAACTTTTATCAAACTTTCTTGGAAATGAAAGAAATTATAATTTAACGACAAGTTTTCTTTATATCTTTACGGCATAAAGCATTCCTTAAAGTTGTTTACGTTCTTTTAAAAGACATTTTTGCACAATTGTCAAATAGGATGCGGACTTATTACTTTGGCGAAATATCTTTAAAAGGAATTTTCAAAAACAAAGGAGAATTTTAAATTATTAATTTTTGAAATATTTTAGCTCAATTTAGCCAATATTTCAATTGCGCTGCTCAATTAGCTTTACAATTTTGCACATCTGTGGACAATTTTTGGATTTTTTCTTTTATGAATTTTATGATTTTTATATTTCACTGACTTTTTGCGTACCCATCAGCTCTTTGATAAATTGCGCGCTCCTGCCAATTCGATTACGTCCGCAACTGAGAAATAGTCCCGCAGAAATAAATAAAATACAAATCATCTGTGGCTGCCAGTGAACGTCAATTGGCAACTACTTTTCAAGTTGACAATTTGCTTCCTTTCCCTGAATGTTCGAAAATATTGTGACACTAATTAATTAGGTCATAAAAAATTGTTTACGTTTTAGCCAGCATATAGAGGAATATATGGGCGTATGTGTGCATGTGTTTGTTTGCGTGGAAGTGTAAACTGTTTCACATTTAGTTTATTTAATTTAATATAATGTAAAATTATTTGGAATTAATATATAATTATTTTTTCTAAATTTTTATTCTAGAAATTTCCTTTCTTTGCAGGTAACTGTTGATGAAAACGAACTGCTCTTAAATATAAATTTCCAGCGAGAAGGTATTCAGTGTAAATATATTACAAATTCAATAACAAATTACATACCAATGTGGTGTATCGAAAGTTATATTTTTATCGGGAAAATAAACTCCTATTAAAAATATTTCGATATTTAAGATTTTTTTTGGAGATTTTAATACTGAATTTGTCTATAAAGCCGTTCGAATTAATATATTATTTAATTGACAATTCTTACATACCTTCCGAAAATATTTTCAACCACAACCAAACTTTTAACTTTTATACCCATATTTCATCCAAAATTCTTGTCCTTTCTTTGTTTTTGACAAAACAATTTTAAGCTCTTAACTTATTTATTTTAAATTATTTGATTTTACAAAAAAGGTACACCAATTCGGGTAGCTGATGTGCTGGAATTTCATTTTGCCAAAATAGTTAATGATTACACTACCCAATCCTTTAGCCGGCTTATACAATAAACACACCAAACTTAATGGTACTCCTGCCAAGAAATTAGATTTGAAAAAAGTTAAAAAAAACAGCATTAACATAAGCTCTACCCATTTAAAATATGTTTTCCCATTTAAAATATGTAAAAGATAATATAAACTAAAAAACACTTACTCGTATGTCCGCAATAAATAGTGGTATATTCCACACAAGGATGTAGCACAGTAGATCCGCTTCCTTTACAATACTTGAATGAATGTATTTTCTTTTTTCTTTCATGAATTTTGTCTCTTTTTCCCTTACTTATAACGGTTCTGTCACCACATGCAATTAAGCAACGCATGTTCTCTAAATCTTCCATAAGTACACACCCAAACAAGCACGGTTAGTCAAAATTTCCTTATTGATCTGCCAACAGGCGAAAAATATGAATTTCTTCTTCTTTTAAAATTATTTATTTGTTTGCTTGTGCAGCCAACGATGGAATTAAATTCGCAATTATTAAATTGTCATTTTGATTTCTATTTTGATATTAATTAGCGCATTTGCCACACTATCTTACTTACTTCTTGTTGCTGTTGCTGTTGTGCTTTTATTTTTGTAATAGCCCGCAACTGTTGGCAATCATTTGTTGTGTGCCACACTTTTGCTCGGCGTACCCGTCCTGCCACGCCATATTCTCTTCCTTATATCTCCACACCGCTCTTCACCTCACCCCTCTTCCGGCTCAGCTGCCGCATTTTATTAATCTGTCATTTATAGTTTTGAGTAGATTTCGGCTGCTGTACACAATTGCATTTGTTAAATTTAATTTGAAATCTAGAACGCCTGCTTATTGCGCTTGTTATTTGTACAGTTCACTATTGTTGTTGTTGTTTGCGATGCCTAATATTAAGTGCGCTTACAAGACACTTAATATCGCTGCTCTCAGCACCTTGTGTCCGATGTGAATGACTGCTTTCGTCGGCTCTCGGTCTGGCCGCCGCCATTGTGTGCCATAAATCAGCGGAAAGGAAGCCAAATGCTCAGCCAATGAAATATGTGAGGTTATTTCCGTTAACCGATTTGTTTTCACTGTTGTTTTCTTGTTGCAAAATCGCACAGTATTGCAACAATTTGCTAATTAAGGCACCCTTAAAATATAATTTTCTGAATATAAATCTTTCACTGTGTGAATTATAAAAAAAATTCTTAAATATAAGCTGAGTGCTTAAGTGGTGCTTTGGTATTTAGTGTTATAAGTATAAAGTCCCACTAATTAATAAATAAACAACTGCTTCAATACTTCAATTTTAAACCACTGGAATGATTTCAAAAGAAACTCGATTTTTCCGAAGAAATTATTTAATCAAAACCTAATTTTTTTTTAACCAATATATGTAAATTTTAGTGTTAATACCGGTATAATAATATCTTAGCAATAACCGGCTATTAATTTGAATGGTCATCTTATGTATCCAATGGCTTGCAAACACATTCCTGAAACGTAAAATTCATTCCACTTTTCTTTTAATCGCAACACTCAATTTATCATCCCGACATTTGCTTTGTCATTATACAAAAAAATATACTTAGATTATTTGAGGTTTATAACGTTACCCTGAACAATAAACTATGCTAATTTCGTGAAGATGTCTTGTAAAGGAAAAAGTTTTGCATACAAGAACTTGATTATGATCGTTCAATTTGTATGGCATTTAAATGCTATAGCGGTCCGATATGGTCAGCTTCTTGGGGAGAAAAGGGTGTGTGCAAAATTACAGATCGATATCTTAAAAAGTGAAAGAAAACTGACAGACAAACG